TTCTCTTGAATAATATATACCTAAGGATGTAAATTTCCCGGGAAACTATATTTCGGGGAAATTTCCCGGGAATTTTGGGGAAAATAGGGAAATAACGGGAAAAAACGGGAAACTATCTTTTTTATAATACTTTACAGGTCAATATTGATTTTTTTTATGTCTTATTGAAAATATATAGATTATAAACATTATAATTAAACAAATATAAATTATTTTCAACTAATTTGCAATTACTTTATATGTTTTATTTGAAATATTATATATAGACTAAATAATATTTAAACAATTAATTTTGAATAGTTGATTATCTTCGTTTGAAGATGAAAATGATTCCAGATCAGAGCTTGAAATTCTGGAATCCAGAAATTTGTCATTTTCAGAAATTTCCTTTCCCATAAAATGTAGATTGGCTCTTATATAAACTAATTTGCGAACTTTGTCATTTTTTATTTTATTTCTAGATTTAGAATGATATTTTCCAAAGGAGGACCATATTCTTTCGGATGCTGCACTTGTTGGTGGTACTGATAAAATTCGTATGGCTAGAGTCGATATGTATTGATTGCAACATTGACCTAATAAAATATTGAATAACACAATTTTAAGATTAGAAAAAGAGTTAAGTTATTGTTTACAGAAATATAAAAGTATTTAACCTTTCCACCAACTCACTGGATCTGTAAATGATGCGCCTTGCCAAAGACTTGCTATATTAAAAAAATCTTCCCTTGCACGATATTTGGATAGGTTTCCTATTACTCTTGCAATATCTAAATCTAGATATCCAGAAAATCTGTTAATAATATCCAACCCCTTTGCAACTTCATTGTCTCTTAAATTAAATCCGCAAAACCTTGGGTCAAATATATGAGCAGCATAATGAATGTCCCGACAACAAAAATTTTTTCGGCTTTTGACTGCTCTATTTTTAAAATCTCGCTCTGCGACAATATATTTGATATTGTTTTATAAGCGTTAAATGTCTCCCTGATATGAATAAACGCTTGAGGGACATCAGATAAATTGGCTTTATCTCCTTTCACTATCTCTATTTGCGTAAATATGACTTTAATAAAATTATATAGTTGCATTAGATCATTTAAAAACCCATCGTTATCAAGAAGAGTAAGTCTCTTATCTCGATCAGTAAATATATCAAGAATAGCCATTTCCCCTAAATATCTTTATTTTTTAACAAGCTATTTATCATCAAAACTATACCTGCCCAACGAGTTGGGCTACGCAACTTTAAGGAAACAATTTTATTATTATTTCTTAGGAGTTGTTTTTCTTTAAACGTTGATAAAAGAATATTGTTAGATTTTAAATATTTTATGATATTTTTAGCTTTTGTGACTAAAATTTGAATGGATAATATCTTATTTGCTATGTCCTTTACAAGTAGATTTAATCCATGAGCGGCACATCCAATGCATTCAATAGTTGGGTATTTCAGTTTTACAAGGGTCCATGCTTTTTCCATATTGCTTGCATTGTCAGTTATTATGGTGTTGATTTTTAAAATTCCTACTTCTATTTATTTATAATATAAATATACTTTTCAGACTAGCTATTTAATTTTAACAAGTATCTTCTAAAATTTTGCAAATGTAAATAGGGAAATTGACATAATTCAAAAACAAAACACAATTATAATTTATGATATGAACCACGAGGAAAAAATGATTTTATAAAATCTAATAAAAATCGTATTTATTTTATCATAAGATTATTTTCAAAATTGGGAAACAAAAATCATGTTGATTTAGATAAAAATACCTATTATAAAAATTGGGGAAACTATAGGGGAAATTTCAAAATTTCCTGGGAAATTTCCCCTGTCTTACATCCCTATATATACCCCCCTTTTTTAAAAATATATATTTTTTTTTTATAGTCCTTTTTAATGTCTTCATAGATTATATATATATTATATATTTTTTTTTTATATTTAATTTTATATATATCCATTTTAATATATATTTTTTGATCCTCTGTAATTTAATGATAATTTATAAAAAAAAAATATGCATCTTTAATTACTATATTAAGGAGACCCAATTTGACAAAATTTTGTAATAAGATTAATTTATTTTATTGATAAATCATGATTAAGTATACACAAATTTAATAATTTACAATAATAATTGTATAGGTTGACATCGAATATTGGCCGCTCTTATAAAATCTGGAAGGTTTCGCACCCTATCACGGTATTCCTCACAAAGTTTCTTTAACCGAATCTGGGTATTATAACTCTGCGATTTTGTTCTCGGTGTCCAACTACCTACACGCCGTTCAAGTTTGGTTTCATCGGTAGCCACCTAGCTTTCATTTCTTTAATCGATACCCAGATTAATGGGGGTTAATTCCCAGCCAAATTAGAAAAACGATGATTCCAACCTTCGCATTGATTATTTGAAAGGACTCCGATTCATGTTCCAAGTTTTTGGAGGAAATCGAGGCTCAATTCGACGTGTCTGGGATTAAGAATATTGATTCTTGTGACCTCCCTTTATTTTCCATTGATATAATTTTTATAGAAATAATCAAAAATTTTCTTACAATTGCTAGGAGTAACCGATCTCAGGAATATCATTCCATTGCCCATATTATATAAAAGTAAAAATCAAAACCACATTTACCTTGTTTACCCAACGCCCATATATTAATATGATAAAACATCCCTAATAATACCCCATTACTCTTCGATTTTTGATTTAAAGAAGATCTCATAGAAGAAATCCTATGTTATGTGAGAATTTCAAAAAGTAGCGTCAAATTTGATATAAAAAAACTATTTTAATTTGAAAATTTTAAAGTTTTATTTCCGGACTTATTTTTCCATCAGGTTTTTTTTCCCGGGGGTTTTCCCGGGGCTTTATTCCACGGAGCTTCTTTTCCGGGTATTTTTTTCAATATTTTTCATAAATAGTATTAATCATCAAATAAAAATTAAATTTTAATATAAATTATATTTGAGCTAACTATTTTAACTTCTAAATAAAATTTTTATTTTTTAAATAATTAAGGGAAACACACAATTTTAACATTAACTGAGGTTATAAAATTTGACTTCTATATTTTTTTGCTCAACTCCTAATTTAAAATAATTTATATTAAATTAAAAAATATTAAATTAAGTTAAAATTTATAATATAACATTGAATATAGTTATACGCTTTGTAATTAATAAAATTATACTGAATTAAAAAGTTGGAATTAAGAAAATATAAAAAAATTATACAGATAATATTTAGATGTGACATAAAATTATTCTTATAATTTTCATTTTTCAAGCCTGCCCATATGATTGGATGGTATTTTAAGAATTGTAGTGAATTTTATAGAATTTATAAGATGAGCTTGTATAAATAGTTTATTATAAATTATATTTAAATAATATTTACCTCGTTTCCTATATTGACATGTATAATCTTTATTTAGAAAGTTAAATGAGTAGTATGCTTATAATCTTAATAATCTCTTACATTTTAGGTTGAATAGATATTAAAAATCTGGCTAAACAGGCAACTGTTAATTAGCAATAAGTCGAACCAGGAATATTATTTAAAAAACAATAAATCAACTTTTACATTTTTTTGTAATAAATATGGCGATGTTTAAAAATCTAGATACCATTTTTTTTTGGTTGGACTTATTATTATAAAGAAAATTGGGAATAATCGTGATAGTTAAAAGATATAAATAATATAATATTTTAATCGGGTAGTAATTATTATAATTTGCCCTAAGAAATTATTTTATGTATGTCTTAATACTTACACGCCATATTAGTATAGTAGATCGCACAAATTGGGCGCTTGCATTTGCCATACTTTTTTAATTTAACAAAAGCTTAACGCGTCCTTTATTTAAATTGAAGCTGCATTTTAATTTAAGAATTAATATTGTCGATTCAAAATTTCAACTGATTTTTTTAAAAAAAAAGAATTAAACGTCTGCCTATTTATTAATTTTAAAAATATTCCATTTTAACGGATCAAACGTGCAAAATCAATGAATGAAAAGATATTGAAAAAACGATATTGAGTTTTTCAAAATAGTGTCTAACGCCAATAGGTAATTTGAATAATTTGCTCGATACCATTTGAAATACATTATGCGTTTAAAAACGTTGATTTGTGCGCACTATAAGACAAACGTAGTAATTTTAATATTTATTATATTCTGATAAAGTAAATAAGGCTCACAACAAAAAATTTGATTAAATAAAATTTAAAAAAACATACGCCCACTAGCGGATATGATATTATTTATTTTTTTAATATTAATTAAAAAGAAATAAAGTATGAATTTTGTTTATGCTAAATGATAAAACATTTTGTACAATGAAGGATTTAATTTAATCAGAGTTTTATTTTAATTATAAAACAATATATTTATTTTTATATATAAAATATGATAAAATCATCTAAAATATATTTTAGAAATATAAATTACCGGTACCCGGAACATAATGTTTTCAATATGTTTTTCTTTTAATTCAAATGACTTTTTCAAGAAAATATCATTTTTTCTTATATATTTTTGTCTTGGCTAAAAATATAACTAATAAATAAAATTTTACTTTTAATATTTCATATTTTTAACTTTCTAGGCGCCACTGTTATATTAATTCTTTTGTTTCTCTTAAAATAAAAGTTTTTCTAATATTGGGCGCCATCGATCTCTCTTTTCTTAACATTTAAATTTTTCTCTTTCTTGCTTTTTGAATGTCTTATACAACTTATTATTAATATTTGTATTTATTTATTTAGAGCTTAGTATAATTTATAATTTTGGTTATTGTAAAGTGATTAGGTTATTCCACCCTGAATTTTCCCCCCTTATTATTGTTTTACTTATATATTTTTATTAATCATTTCCTTTTCCATAGTCTTCTATTAAACAAAAATTTTGTAAAGTTTTACTTTAATTTTTTTATACGCTAAGCTGTATTTTATTTCCCTTCAAATTTTAAATCTTTTTCTATTATAATGTCTATGTCAACTCGTTTTCCAAATGTGCACAGAGATGTGGAGGTAAATTTTCTCTATACAGTTTTAAATTTTATTTTGTTTTTCTGTATTAAATAATCTTTATCTTTTTCGTTTTTTTCTCTTTTTAAGTTTCTTAGGTGACCTCATCTTTTCTTCCAATATTTTGGTCTCTTTTATATTAAATTAGTCCTAGGAAACTCTTTCATAATTTTATTTATTTATTTTTTATTTTTTCGATTGGCTCTCCCTTAGGTAACATATGTTTTCCTTTTATCGGAATTCCCAAAAATTTCCTTTACACTATTCCTTTCCTAACATATGTTTTCCTTTTATCGGAATTCCCAAGAAATTTCCTTTACACTATTCCTTTCCTTTTTAGGTAATTAAGACAATATCCTTGCTTTAAAACTGATAAACCCACAATCACTTTCTTCCCCCTTGTCTTGGCATTGCTTTTGAATTACCTTACTTTGTTTCTACTCTTTCTCTTCCAAGATGGGTTAAAGCCTATAGACATCCTTATCAATTTTTTCTTCCTTTTTCTTTTTAAACAGAACAGTAAGTAATAATATCTATATTATAACCACTTGCAATAAATCATGTTATATAATATTTATACATATATTTGTATACATATCTTTTATCTGATAGCGCCCGAGTGGTTTGAAAGGAAATTTTATCATGTCCTCGCTTAATATTAATGGTTTAATGAGTAAATTCACGATTTTTCTAAGACTCATGGTCGACGAAAAAATGGATGTGATCGCGATAGAGGAGACCCACTCAAAAGATAATAATATGGCTACCTTTAATAACTTTGAAATGTATAGTTCTGGCACCACTTCCAATAATTGTTCGGGGGTTGCTTTCTTTATCAGCAAAAGATTATGCAAATACGTGGATAAATTTGTGCCCATTTTGGAGAAATGCTGTTTACTAAACCTGAATACCTGCTTCAGACAAACAATCTTAGTTAATGTCTATGCCCCGCCTAGAAGAAACGAACGGCTCGCATTCCTTGATGATTTAGAAAACATTGTAAACTCTCTTCCTAGGAGTCGTAATTTGATAATCCTCGGGAACTTAAGTACTAGGATTGGAAAAGATGACTCCTTTATTAGAGATGGGATAATTGGGAATGCAGCTCTCTCTCAATTAAACAGTGATGACAGTAGGAAGTTATTGGAGATGTGCAGGAGTATAAACCTCAAGGTTGAAAATTCTTTCTTTTCACACAGCGATTTTAACACCCTAACCTTCAGAAGAAATAATACCAAATCTCAGATCGATTTTATCATCTCGAACATTCATAGCTGGTTCATCGATGTAAAAGCAATGCCTAATATTAATATTTCTGATCATAACTTAATCAGAGCCAGTATTACTGTGAGAAATTTATGGGGAAACTCTCGGCGTCCTTCTCTTCAACCCCAGCTCGATCTAATCTTAAATGATAGGGAAGCAACTTTCTTATCCTCATCGGAGTCTCAGTCTGTTGAAGAATGTTGGGCGTCTTTCAAAAACAACTTGTTTGATGCCTGCAATCATCTCCCTAACATCAACAATTCTCCACTAAGACAGGAATGCAGCGTCTACATGACAGGATTTTCACTGGGTGCAAACCCCCTTCAAAAACCTTTGCCTACCCCCCCCCCTAAAAAAATTCTAAAGGATTTATTTTTTAGATAGTAAATAAAATTAAATCCTCCATTATTTACAAAGAATTAATTATTAAAACTTTATGAGCTTGCTGAAATATCTACTTTTTAAATGTAATTTAAAAGGATAGCAGAAAGTTTTATTTGGAAAACAATATGTATAATTGTTTGCAATATATAGATTTAACCGATGAATTGTATTATAATAGTTCTATTATAAAAGTATTAATTTTTACAGCAATAAATTTTGTCCTATTTCATCTCAAAATTCACCCCCAAAAATTTATCCTACCCCCATTAAAGCCGCCTACCCCTACCCCCTCAAAAAAATAGGATGTAAACTGTTCCTACCCCTCTCGCTCATGTAGACGCTGCAGGAATGGCTATCCGATGACACCATTCGCATGATAGCTCAACTCAAGCTACAAGAAGAGCGCGATGGTCATTTATGGACCTCAATTCATAGACTCCTAAGGAGAGATGGAAGAATTTTTATTGCTAAAAAAGCTTTTGAGATAGACAGGGATATGAGGGAGAATTGAACTTCCGACGCCTACAAGAAACTAAATTACTTTTGTAAAGCCAAAGTGTTCTAGACACTTCAACTATAAGGATGGATAATAATAAGTTAATTACTGACCCCGATGAAAAGATGGCGTTATGGCTGGATCACTATATGGGAGTCTTTGATTCTAGGAGGCCTACCTTAATCCCATCCACTAGTCAAAGTGTTGGACAATTGGACGCAAACATTTCATTGGCTGAAATAGTGGCAGCTATTAAGAAGCTTAGGAATAATAAATCTCCGGGTACGGATAACATTATAGGAAAACATCTGAAAGCAGCTCCCTAGCGATCTCTCGGTACTTACTGCCTTTGTTTAACAAGATATGGTTTACTGGGATGATGCCAGCGGATTGGAATAGGACTATCTTTTGCAACTTCCCGAAAATTCCAAATCCATCTAAATTCAAGGATTACAGAGCCATCTCTCTCACGTCTATTGCATCAAAAGTTTTTATGGTTCTTTTAAAAAACCGCATTCTTTCCTCTACACCAAACCTTTTGTCTAAATACATTTGTGCTTAACTTCCAAGTAGAAATATAGACGAACTAATATTAGCTTTAAAGATTATAATGCAAAAATGTGAGAAGTATAAATTACCTTTTTACTTTATTTTTATCGACTTTAAACGTGCTTTTGATAATGTTAACCATGATGTGCTTTGGAAGATTTTAACCGAATGTGGCATTGACTCTAATATTATAAGGATCTTTAAAACACATTATAGTAGTCTTTTTGCCTCCTTAAAAATCAATAATAAGGTTTCTCCATCTTTTAGGACAAAGAAAGGGGTAAAACAAGGGTGTGTTCTTTCCCCGCTATTGGGGTTTCTCCATCTTTTAGGACAAAGAAAGGGGTAAAACAAGGGTGTGTTCTTTCCCCGCTATTGTTTAATATACTTATGAATAAAATCATAGTAGATACGCTAGCTACTGCGAATCTCGGTCCAGTCAGTCGTTCTTCTGTGAAAATAGGGTGATATGTTATGCTGATGTCATAGTATTGATAACAAAAAGTTTGGAAGAAACCCAAAATTTGATCTCTATATTGAACTCCTTTAGTTTTAAGGTTGGCTTGGATATAAACTTTGATAAAACAGTGATAATGCCTCGTCTCAGGCGCCTCTTCTGAATAATTTGGTGGTTGGGGGAAAGTTGGTTACGGTGGTGAAATCCTTTATATATCTAGGTGTAACCATTGACAATAAAGGTAGTTGCGAAGAGGAACTAAAAATTCGTATACAAAATGCTAGGACGGTTTTTTTAAATTTTTTAAACTGTGGAAAGCTAGAAAGATATCCATTTTCACAATACTCCGTATTTTCAACTCAACCATCATCCCGATTCTCTTTTATGGCGGTGATACATGGGAGATTACCAAGACCGAATCTAGGAAATTACAAACGTTTGTAAATAAATGCCTAAGAATAATAAATGGAATTTCCTAATCTAATATTATCTCAAATAAAAACCTTTGGAAGATGTCTAACCATACCCAAGTTCACGTGTCTTTAAAAAAGAAGCGTCTTACTTTCTTTGCCTATATTTTGAGAAAAAACAATAGCCTCGTTATCAGTGTTGTTAAAATAGCGCGCTACTATAGCGCGCTACTTTTTTCAGTAGCGGTAGCTATAGCGCGCTACTTTTTTAAAAAAATAGCGATAGCGGTAGCTCGCTATTAATTTAGAAAGTAGCGAAGTAGCGCGCTACTTCGCTACTTTTAATTTTACATAATAAATACATCTAAAAATTATTAAAATATATTTTTTATAAAATCTAAAATTATAATCCTTTTATTTAATTTAATTTTGAAATTTATATTTATATTTAAAAATATACATTATTGTTATATATTAGATATAAACAGTTGTTAAATAGCAATCTGTATTTAATTTATATTTCGCGCATTCATTAAATTATATATTTTTGAAATTCCGTTATTGATATGTCCTTGCTTTTATCTTATTTTATATTTCATTTTACATTTTATATTAAGCATTATAAATCTTATTATGTGTGAGATTGTTGAAGATATTGAAATTTCTTTGGAAAATGAGCAATATAGATGATCCTTTCCCAAAATTCAAGAAATACTTTAACCTTGAAGAAAAAATTAATACTGGATATCGGTTTCGGTGCAAGATGTGCCGCAAAATTATCTCTTCAAATCATACGAGCAGCTTTAATTTGAAAAAACATTTAAAGGTAATATATTAAACAAATTTAATATCAATGTGTTGGCTAATCTTTAATTTTTAAAATAAATTAAAATAAAAAACCAATCATTTTTTGTATACATTCATAAATTTTATCTAAATTATTTAAAACATTTTAAAATAGTTATTTCAATCATTTTTATGTACTTATCTCCTACATAATTTTTATTCTAAGTATTTTATAATTTTAGACTGTGCACACTTCAAATTATAAAGAGATTGAAAAATATCTCAAAAGTTTTGGGGTAATGGAAGAAGATAAACCCACTTCCAAATCAAATTTAATACAAACAAAATTAACCAATTTGGATTCATCAACACCTGGTGTATCCCAAAAATTGGCTGACAAAGTCATTATGAACTTTATAATAGATACAGTTCAACCATTATCCTTGGTGGAAAATGATTATTTTATAAGGATGATAAACACTTTTTCTCCACGGACCAAGATATTTTGCCGGCAGACATTGATGGCAAGAATTTTGGAGAGCTTTAAGGAAATGAAAGAATCTTTGATATTAAATCTATCAGATGTCTCCTACGTCTGTACAACGGCAGATTGCTGGACTCACAATAGAAGGTAAAAATATTTATTTTCTGATTTATAATATGTCATATTTTTAGAGCTTATTTAGGAGTAACTGCACATTGGATTGATCCTAAAAATCTTAAACGAAAATCTGTAGCGTTAGCTCTAAAGAGAATAATTGGCTGTCAGACTTATGACATTCTAGCCAATATTATTGCAGAAATCCATAGGTCTTACAAAATTCAAAACAAGGTTTGTAAGATGATTACGGATAATGGGTCTAATTTCCTGAAGGCCTTCAGGTTTTAAATTTATTATAATTTTTTTATAATATGATATAAATAATATAGAATATTTGGGGAAGATAATAATAATAACAATACTAGTAATATTCCTGACAAAAATATTGAAGATGGAAAACAAGAAGAGGATGATGAAATGGAGTTTGAGATAATTGATGCTCATGACATCCTTGGTTTTAAATTATTTTATATTTAATTTTTCACCAATATAAAATAAAATTTATAATATTTAGGATCTTCAATAAAGTCTTCTATGTTACCTAGCCATCATCGTTGTTCCTGCCACAACCTAAATTTAGTTGCGACGGTGGATGCTGAAGAAGCATTATTAAATGAGGATTTTAAAAGAGTATCAAGATCTACATTTTCTAAATGCCAAGCTCTTTGGAATAAACAAAATAAGTCATCAAAGACGTCTGATATTTTCAAAAAAAAATTAGGACGTTATTTATTGACACCAAACAAATAGTGTTTACAATGCTATGAAACTTTTAGCATTGTTTCAAGATGAGAAAAAAATGGAAATGAATTATATATTGGATCAAATGGGAATACAGTATTTTAATGTGGAGGAGCATACTTTTATTAAAGAATATACTGAAGTATTTTTAATTAACCTCTAGATGCTTTTTTTAAATCTAAAAATACTAATTTAAATATTTTTGATGATTTTTTTCATATAAAAAGTTTGTTTATTAAATTTAATACTGCGTTGCCCTCAAGTGCTAGTGCTGAACGATTATTTAGTATGGCAAAGCTTATGCTTTCTAATCGTCGCTCTAGACATGGGGATGACAGTACCGAAATGTTATTATTATTAAAGTGCAATAATAAATAAATTATATATATATGTAACAAATTATAGTCATGTTTTTATATCAATATTTTATTTGTGGAAATAAAGTTACGTAAAAAAAAATATTTTAAAAAAAAATCAAAATAGCGTAAAGTAGCTAATAGCGCGCTACTCATTTGAAAACGATAGCGGTAGCGATAGCGCGCTACTTCTAAAGGTAGCGTTTAACAACACTGCTCGTTATTGATGTCATTAATTGGTTATACTCCTTTATTGGGAAAACATATTGCAAATATAAGACATTATGGTTCTATAGAGCCTTGAAGGACATAATGGATCTAAACTTAAATTTGAAGCAGTTCCTATGGCTAAATAAAAACAAAAAATCTATAAAGAAATTACTAAAAATTAAATCGAACTACCTAAACCTCTAATAATTTTTTTTTTAAAATTTTTTTTCCTGTATTTCAGGTTATTTAATTTCTTCATTTCTCAATTTACCTCCTGACTTTGTCTTTCACCTTTTCTGTGAATTACTTACTTCACTGACATTAGATTTTATTTATCTTATTGGCTTAATGTACTAGTTTAAATCAGTCCGTCCCATATTTTTAATTATATATACAATGTCTTGGGCGTTGTTGTACTTCTATACATTTCCCATTATATGAGTTAAGATATATTAATGGCATTTGAGGAATAGTTTGTAATTTGCGTTTCTTATGTGGGCTAGAATTATTCTTTGGCTCTTTTTAACTTAGTTTTTGGTTATGTTTTGTATTTTCCATAATTTTTGAGTTCGTAATGTTTCTGGGGTAGAGGGTATCCTCTTTTGTTTTTGAGACATTTATTTGTTTATAGTCATCTATTTATTTTATTTTTTATTTATTTTTTTCTTCCCCAGTTTCTTTGGTTTCTCTAACAAGACTAATATAGGAATAGTGGATGTGCCCTCAGTCTAGAAAATACCGATTTCTCTCTTATCTTCCATACTTTTTGTATACGTTTAAAAGTTTCCACTCGCCTTTGTATTCTAATTTTTCTTCTTCTTTGCAACTACTGTGACTACATTTACTTTGTTCTAACTATAAGTTTAAGGAGGAAAACTGTTTTTTTTTTATTCATTTCAATATTT